GGCGTCCACCGGCGAGCTGCTGCGCTGCCTGGGTGACTTCGTGTGCCGCCGCTGCTACCGCCTCAAGGAGCTGAGCCCCGGCGAGCTGGTGGGCTGGTTCCGCGGCGTGGACCGCTCGCTGCTGCTGCAGGGCTGGCAGGACCAGGCCTTCATTACGCCCGCCAACCTGGTGTTCGTGTACCTGCTGTGCCGCGAGTCGCTGCGCGGGGACGAGCTGGCGTCGGCCGCCGAGCTGCAGGCCGCCTTCCTCACCTGCCTCTACCTCGCCTACTCCTACATGGGCAACGAGATCTCCTACCCGCTCAAGCCCTTCCTCGTGGAGCCTGACAAGGAGCGCTTCTGGCAGCGCTGCCTGCGCCTCATCCAGCGGCTCAGCCCGCAGATGCTGCGGCTCAACGCCGACCCCCACTTCTTCACGCAGGTCTTCCAAGACCTCAAGAACGAGGGCGAGGCCGCCGCCGCCGCCGGGGGCCCCTCGGGCGGCGCCGCCACCTCCTCTGCCGCCAGGGACAGCTGCGCGGCCGGAGCCAAGCACTGGACTATGAACCTGGACCGCTAGGGACGCCCGGGCCCGCGCCCGCCCCCCCCCAACCCCTCGGGACCATCACGCTGCTGCCACCACCGATACAGCTGCTCCAAGCCCGGCTGGGCGCAGAAGGAGCCGCCGTTGACCCGCAGGGGAAGCTGGTGGCCCTGACGCCAGAGGCAGCGCGTCTGGATTTGCTGGGGCGACGGGGTGATGAGCGCGAGAAGGGGACCCCAGCCTCACCTTTCTGTGTGTCAGCGCCCCCTGTCTCCCCATTCTCCCCAGGCCCCCCCTTCCCTGTTGTGCGTGTCTGTGGTCCACCTGTCGTTAGTGTCCGCGCTCCCACCTCCTTCCTGCACCTCCGCCTCCCCTGCCTTTCCGTGTTCTGTCCCTTGGGGATGTTTTTCCATCTTCCTCTGCTCCCTACCTGTCTCCCGTGGCCCTGTCTCTCTCCCTGCACCTGTCTCAGCATTGCCCCCTCTTGTAGTCCTCTCCTGCCATGTGCCACCCTCTCCTGTCTCCCAACCCCACTCTGTCACTGTCACCCTCCATTTCTTCCCCTGACTCAGTCCCCCCTGTACTCATCTGCCTCGAGAGAGAAAAGGGCACGTTGTTGATTTGGATCTGTGGAGGTGCAGCGGGCCCCCACTCACCGGGATGGTCCCTCATCCCACACCCCTCCTCGTTTTTTCCCCCCTACGTGTTGCATGCCGGGAGTTGGGGAACCAGGGGCTGCCGGCTGCAGAAGGTGGAGGTTTTGGGGTGATACCAACCCGGAGGAGCACGGGGGGGGGGGCGGCAGCGGTGCCTCTGTGAAGGGTGGAGAGGAGAAAGAAAACTCTTCTCACTCTGGGGGAGGGGCGCCCCTCTTCCTTACTCTTAGACTTTTGGTTCTTTTCCTTTCCTTTTTAATTTATTTGATTGTTTATGGAGGGAGGGGGGAGGGAGGGTTGGGCTGGGAGCTGTTCGAGGTGCTGAGCCGGGCCGAACTGACAACTGACATCCTCCCGGGAGGGGACCAGGGGCTTGGTTGGGCCTGGGGCCGTGTCCAAGGTGCCAATGATGCGGGCCGACGGCGCGGGCCGCACTGTCTGTCTGTCCGTCCCAGAGAGAACTATAAAGCGCTGGAAGCGCCTGCAGATGGTTTTGCGCCGGCCTTTCTTTGGGCCCCGGGAGGGAGGGGGAGGGAGTGGAATTGTCATGGACAGGGCAGGAGTGCTAGAGAGGGGGCCTAACGAGGAAGGGCAAGTCCTTGAGAGACACGCTACTTGTGACTCCCCACCATAAATTTCCGTTTCACCAGAGCAAAATGAGGTCTAAGGTTGAGGCTTGATGATAAAGCTAAATTGCTCCCCCTCCATCTTGTCTGACCGAGCCACTCACTAATGCCTAACTCAGGGGCTGGATGAGGAAGGAGGGCAGCAGAGGCTGTTCCCTCTCTGTGATGGGGCTCACTGAGGCAGAACTAGTCATCATTAGCCCTTTGCCTTCCCTCCTCTCTCTCCCCCCTCCCCATTATTAATTCCGCCTAGTCCAGACAGGCCTACGTCTGTATTTATCCCTTTCAGGTGCGATCCAATTCCCACACTTAGTCCCACACTCCCTCACTAGGCTTCTTCAGCCACTTGCCCACCCAGGGCAGCCTTTGGAAATCCATCCCTGCTTAAGACTCCTCCTCCAGGAGAAGGAAGGGAGCAAGTCTTCAGGTCCGACTTGCTCAATCACTGTCACCCACTCAGAGCTAACCCTCCAACGGGTCCATCCCCCCCCCCCACTGGAACAGCTGGTGGATACAAACTTCCTCCCTTTCGGTTGGCACCACAACTGTTTGCACGCTGGGCCACTAGTGCTCCCTCCAATCCTTCAGGATTGAGCAAGAGGAGAAATAGGCTATTTAATGAGAGAGCTCTGGTCTTCACTGCCTTCTTAACCACATGCTTAATCGCCCTTTTTCTCTATCATCATTGGCCCTGGGAGATCACGTCTCTGACCCTTCTTACCACCTGGGGCACAAAGATCCAGGAGAGAGCCAGGCAGGGCTGGCCAGTGAGGGCCTAGGTCTCTGTCCATGGTGCTGACAGGCTGCCTTGGCAGGGTGGGGGTTTATGGGGCAGCAGGAGTGGCGAGCAACTACTTCAGCTGGGTCTTTGGGGTAGTTTCGGAATGGGGTGAGATTTGTTCTGGCCCAGTTACAGGAGTGTGGCTGAGAGAGTCCAGGATGTTGGCACCCACCTGCCCTCTTAAGAGGACAGAACTGGATTCTCCCCACCTCGAGGCCCAGCGTCCTCGCACCAGGCCTGGAGCCGGAAATTCCCAGTCCAGATTTGTGAATCGAGTTCCGGAGGGGGGGGGGGAGGGGGAAGGCGGAGCGGGGAGGGGGCGCTGGCGGAAGAGAAGGCGGGAGCATCCGCCCATTGGCTGGAATTTGGCGCAGTCAGCGCGGTGCCGTCATCCCTCTAGCTTCGGGAGGGGGGAGGGAAGCTCTCGGGTCACTCGGCGGCTGTCGCCTTAGTAACCAGGCTGCGCTGAGTGGGCGGGGCCCCTCCGACTCTCTAACCCCTTGGCAGGGGACGCAATCCTAATCTGCTTTACTTGGAGCTAGTTAGCAAGACTAACTACCTGCTTAAAATTTCTGGGTTAGAGGATCTCTAAGGCAGTAGGAAAGGGATCCGAGAACCTGTTAGAGATTCTGGAACATAGTGTCCCTGGAGATCTCTGGATGCTGCTCCTGAGTGCATGGGCACAACAGCCTCTGGCCTCTGTCTCTCACACACACCATCATCATCATCATCATCATCATCCTTCCTTCCTTCCTCTCTCTCTCTCTCTCTCTCTCTCTCTCTCTCTCACACACACACACACACACACACACACACACACACACACACACCACCCCTGGACAGACACTTAGACATGTACAATAAGTAAAGATGTCTCTGTAGGTAGTGTCAAGTTAAATCTCACTTTCTTTGCATGCCCCAAGACATGACCCTGATCCGATTAGAGGTAAAGACGGGTGGAGGATCAGCATGAAAGCTGGAAAAGAATTAGCTCCTGGGTCAAACTTGGTCAGATTCCTGAGTTTGAGGGAAAGCAGGGTGGCAAGGATATCGGAAGAGAGGCCTGGAACTGTCTTCTGAGAAGAAAGGGTGAAGGGACAGATAACGAGGTGCTCAGCAGTGAATCTGGGCAAAGTGAGAATGAGAAGAGGTGGTGCTGTGAGGGGCCCAGAGCTCTTGAGACAATCCTGCAGAGGTGTGAGGTGGCCTACAGAAAGAAGCAGAAACCATAGACAGAAACCCAGCTGGAGCCATGCATGACTCAGCACTTCCCCTGGAAAAGGGCTGGAGCAAATCTCCCAGCACAGGAGCAAGGGAGAGAAGAGGGGAGCAGAAAAGCAGATGGGCGGATAAATGGAGAATATGCTGATGCACGCGTTGACATAAAACCAAATCCACGCATTTTAACCCAAAGACAAGCACATATGCATTTACATTGATAAGGTTCATTTAATCATAACATAATTATACTCCTTCCTCCCCTGTCTTCCTTCCTAGAGAATAGGACATTCTGTCCTGAGAACCCTGTTCGCCTGTCCCTAGAATACCTCAATACCTACTCAGAAAGGAGAAATGAAAATAAATAAAAAAATCTCAGACATTTGGGCCAGGGAGTTGTCATGACAACCGATTTGCCTGCCAGGCAGGGTGCTCGGCAACCAGAGCATCTGGCGGGATCCAGGAGGATGTCCTATGGCCTCTGCCCACGGGGACCCTGCCTCAGGTGTCCAGAGGGCACCTCCAGAAGCGTTCTACAACATACTGCTGAAGCAGCCGCACAGCCGGGTTGCCAGCACCATGGACAGCTGGCAGCCAGAAATGAGGACCTGACTTTCTTCACGTGCTACAGTTTGAATGGTAGCTGCTTAGTGCTTTACATCCTCTGGCTTCTGTAGAGCCTGTAAGTGGGTTTGAACTGTCAACCTCTTGCCTAGCAGCTAAACACTTAGCTACTGCAACATGCAAATCAAGCCCACTACCCTTGAGTCAATTCAGACGCTGGTGACCCTCCATCAGATGCCTGTTTACATCTGCAGTTAACAGCTGCAGTTTACATTATCTTTCTCCTGGGGAGCTAGTGAACCTTTGAGTTGGCAATCTGAAATTTAACCCACTATGTCTTCAGGACTCCCTTTTTTCCCCCTTTTCTGTTCCTTTTTTTTTTTTTACATTTAGCTCAGTTTATTTATATGGCTATCTCCCCTTTTTCATTACATGGCTCCCCCACCTTTGGTTTTACACTTCTGTGCAAATGTCATTTCTCTTGTACCCTCTATATTTTTTTAATTAATTTATTTCTTTTTCATTTCAATGAACGTCTACAGAGATTTTGAAATTCCATTCATTCATTTTTGCACCCTCAGGGCTCATTTTAATGTCTAGAGACAATGTTTTCTGTCAGTTGCAAGACAAAAGGAATGAACACCCTAGAAACCCTTTCCTTTCAACACCTTACCATAAATCCCACAAAGGTCATTTATACTCATGTGGGCTAGATGTGTGGGTATCCACTGCCATTGGGTCAGTCCTTGCTGTCTCATAGCCACTCCCCACTGGTTTTCTGAGACTAAACTGTTAATCTTTACAAGCGGAGACTGCCAGCCTTTCTCCTGAGGAGCAACTGGTAGATTTGGATGGTGACATTTTTTGTGAGCAGCCCAATATGCTACCATTATACCACCAGAGCTAAAAGAAGGGTAGAAAATACGGGTTTGGTTCAGTGTGATGCATAACTAGGCAGATGATACTTTGACTGAAGGGTCTTCTCTGGATGCAAACTCTGACTAGAGTTTAATATACTGATGAGGATTTTTGACACATATTTTTCTGTTGCACTTCTAGATTGGCTGATGTTTCACCCCAGCCCTTTTTTATTAGTATTCAGATTTAATGTAGTTTCTGGTTTCAAATCCCAATCTAGCTTGGGAAGTTTATGGTTATCTGCCCCCAGGCTCTTCCACCTGCCTCTCTCAATGTCT